CTGGACCTTTAATTATTAATTAATCGACTGACTGTCACATTCTCTATATATCAGTATAAATAATGCAGATTGAGAATTAAACTGTTATAATGCTAATGATCACAGATACAACAGATGGTTCGATGTAATCCTCCAACCCTTTCAGCAAATGACTTTTATCGCAGCCACAAACAGAGAAAACACGACACAACAAGTAACCAATGAGAGTAAAGACGTCCGATTAAGATCAACAAAATCCTTCAGCTTAAAGTCCTTCAGTATCACAGTGGGGGGTCTGCGAGGGGGGGGGGGGCATTAACACAGGTTCAATCTCTTAAATTCAAACACAATGTGACGTTTCTGAGGGTCTGGTTCAGATCTGAGGGCGGCCAGAGAGGATCCGGACCCTCCACACTCTTCTGTCCTGAATCCACCACAAGACTGTTTAAGAGAAATTGTCTTTAGCAAAAAGAAAAATGCAAGTTTTCTGTATTTTTCTGCGTTACAGAGGCTAAATGTGAGTCTGTTGTACTTATTAGTGGTGAAATTAAACCGTAAACTGACACAATCTTCTCTTCAAACGATAGCTGTGTCCTCTCCTCTGGAAATTTTTATGTAATATGTAATGTTAGTTGCTAACATTAGCATGCTAGACTAAGTGAGTGAGTGCTAACTGAGTGAAATACAAATTTAATACCAAGATGTGTCCAAAGTGTGACTGCAAGTCGTGCTGTTTATATACTGGATTATAGTTTGTATACGTGGCTGTTACGGTGCAACAAAAGGAATCTAAAGAAAGTTAAAAAAGCCTTTTTTCTGGAAAATTAGACGTATTTTTTTTGTCTAAAAAAAAAAAAGAAAAATAATCTTGTTTTGTGTTCGAAAAGTGATCTAAAATCTGCTTGATGTCACTAAATCGTACACACTGGTCCTTTACAGAGTGAATAATGTTAATGCAGTAACAACCAGGGCTGCACAGTTAATCAAAATATTATCAAAATATGTCAATATTGTGCAATATTCAGATCTCAGAAACTGCAATTTATTAATAATGAGGGTAAAATATGTGACAAACGGCTTTATAATGAAGTACTGTGGTGCTGCAGTTTGGTACAGACTTCTGTCATGTTTTTTATCAGTGAAAATGAACAAAATAATCCCAATATGATGTTTTTAAAACAACAAGCAGCTGCACAAAGTAACGTCTCATATAGATCACGTTTTACGATGGTCACAAAACATGGTGCAACACCGGCTCCTAAATGTCAAACACTGACATTAGAAACATGCCCCAGAGGCTTAACTTGATACTGTGTCCATACATACATACATAAATATATATATAATACATACATATATATATATATATATATATATATGTGGGTATGTATCAGTGAGGAGAAATCAAATGTGAGTCTGTGACACTGACTCAGTCCCACCGATGACCTCATGACGGAGGCGTCCTGAAACAATAGGGGTGGGAGAGGAAACACTCTTTCCTTTGCTCGGCGAACCCGCCCTGAGCAGCCTTTCCACTTCAAATTCCTGACCTCAGGAGTCAGTGAAAGATGAAGGGAGGGCTGAGGCGCTGGGGGGCGGGGGGGGTTACCTTCATGTGGACCAGGAACCACCAGGGACAAATATGTGGCGAGTCTGCAAAGGTCAAGTCACTAAATACTTTCCTTAATAGATGCAGTCAGTCAGAGGAGGGCAGGTTTTAAGAGGTGACTTCATTCCAGACGTTGTGCTCATATTCTCCGAGTCATTTCAATCCAAACCTGCTGTGTGGAAGTGAAGCCATGAACGGGGCCCTTTGAGATGCCGTTGGTTCGTCATCGGGAGCGAGGTTCACTCTTTGTACGCAGCAGCTCTCATTATCATGTTCTGTGGTCGGGTTTCACTTAATGTTTTCCAGCTGTTTTAGGGCTTTAAGAGAAGGAGCCACTTTAAAGGGTCTGTGTCATTCATTCCTTCGTTCATTGATGACGATTGACCCCGAAATCCTGCCGGGCAGAGCTTTACGCCGCGGTTTGGCAGTGTGAGCCGCATGTTCAAACCCCACCGAGAGCGTTTGCTGCCGTACGTTGTTTACTTGTGTATTTTATACATCAAAATGATATAAGACGGTGTTTCTCCACTTAAAATCTCCTTTAACATAAAATTCAATCTGGAGTCTGTGATTGTAATTTGACTAAAAACTCCACATTTTCACATAATTTTAGACCATTATCATTAAGATATTTATTAAAAGATGGAACACAGGTTGTAGTTCAACATTCAGACAATTATAATTTATATTAAGATTAAATATAAGAACAGCTTCAGACAAAGTTTTTCTACTTTGTACTTGTTTTTTTCTTGGTGTTACTCCTCCTCCTCATGTTGGCGACCACATATACGATCTATATGATTTATGTTTAGGACCGGCTCTGTTCGATACAGAAATACTGTTTTGTTATGTTTTATTTCTTTGCCGCTAACACTGATTGTTCTGAAGTGGACGTATGAAACAGAACCGCAGTGAATCCTCTTTCAAACCAACATATTCACTATAAACAGGATGTGACTTCCATTACGGCGCCAGAGGGCAGTTTCATTCACCTGAGAGGCGTCTGTGTGCAGCGTGTCTCTGCCTGTTCGTCCCTCTGAGACGTATCTTTATCCTTCACACCTGAGGGATTCAATCTGGAGTTTGAAGTATTTATTATGTTGAGTATGAGCAACATCCTGATATATGATTACAGATCTCTCCAAGATAGATCTCTGTTTCTCTATTGTTTGTTTTTGTTTATTTCTTTGTTGTAGGTTTTGGTTGGTGTACCGATAGTTTGCTTTTTGGGCCATTGTACATTTTTTATAGTAAATGTTTCCCCAGAGCACACTGACGGATCAGAACCAACTGAGTGATGAATGTGTTCGTTTTGTGATAAATTAAATGTATGTTTTGTCTCCTGCCGGTTCTGTTACCTTTCTTCTGTTGGCGAGCGCCCTCCTGCAGATCCGCCTCCAGCTCAGCCAGCTCCATACCCTGCGGGGTGTTGGGCGGCGTCAGCAGGCAGGACGGGTCCAGAGCCAGGCTCTTGTGGTAGACCAGGTCAGCCTGTCCTGGGAGGGTGTTCTGCAGCTCCAGGCTCTTCAGCTTCTGGGTCAGAACTGCCTCGCAGCTGCTCAGGTCGCCATGAGATCCTCGGGCTTGAGCCGGCTCCGCAGGGGAGGTACAGTCCAGGTCTGCCTCTGGCGAGGAGCAGGTAACCGGGTCAGTGACCACCTGATGGGCCGGATCCTGGAAGACTCTGACGGAGGGCGAGGTCGCAGACTGGCTGTCTGTTGTCTGAGGGACATAAAGTCAATCAATAACACATGTAGAAACATCAAGGTGTCTCATTTCCTGACTGCCACTGGCCTCTCATTATGTTTTTGAGCTCTGGGGTCGGAGAGCTCGTTACCTGTTGCTCCACATCGGGCTCGGCTTGGGTTTCGCCGCGGGGGAGGCGGCGTATGAACTCCTGCAGATGAGCGAGCTGCTCAAACAGAGCCGGCTCCACGAGGGGTTTACCCAGCTCCAGGTGAAACGTGCTGCTGGGCAGGATGAGCGGCGGGTGGTTGTCGAAGCTCTCCAGGATGTCGGCTGCAGGAAGAGAGAGAGAGAGAGAAAGGTCATTACAGCTGTCCAGTGAAATTCAACTTTAAGTAAAGCTGCTGTATTTGGGTTAAAGCCTCGTTAAAAGCGGTAAATAAAGCGCGGACTGATGCAACTGTTGCAGGATCAGTCGATCAGCAGGGTGTAGTCGGTCTGAGAGGTGAACGCAGGTGAGAGCGAGGCGGCTGATTTTAGAGGTAAATGAAGCTGATTGGTGGAGACAGACTGACAGGATTCATTTAGCGGAAGACACTGACCGGGATGAAGGCTCATTAGTTAACGTACCTCTAATTACTGTTACAACATGAGGCTGATCAGATTGATATATAGTAAATTGTGAATTTAAAATAAAAAGTGAAAAAAAAAGCATTGTAAAAGCATTTCTATGGAGGCCCAAAGAGTTCGATATTAAATAAATAAATAAACATGAACAAATTGTCTTAGACATAATAAACATAATATATTTATATAATTAAAAGAATTAAAATGGTATTTCAGATTTTAGAGTTATTTTTTTATTATAGAAATCTTCATTTCAAAAGTTCATGATCTTATTTTTCATTGTTGTATTATGAAATAAAAAGTGACTTCATTGGGAAACAACTAATATGAAAACAATGTTTCACAATAATGTTTTAATAATTTATTGGATTTATTATTTACTTATTTATTATTATTTATGATTTACGTTCAGAGAAAGTAACAAACTGTGTTTTCATTTGACTTAATGATGAATGACTGTAACGAGTTTATAGTCGCAGCACGTTGTTTTATACGATATACACATCACAGACGTCATTCAGTGTTTGTTCTGAGCTTTATGTATCAGGTCATTATACTTGTCAAGAGTTATTTATCATGTAGTTGTGTGCAGTCGAGCATGTCTACTGTCAAGTTTGAACACGCAGGCAACACAATGGATTGTTCTGCTGCAGAGGAGTCTGGTTACTGCAGTTTACAGTAAACAGGGTCGACTCGTGGAAGAAAATACTTTTGGTAACAAAGAACTGGGCAGAAAGCAGCTTCATTATGCATTGTTTTACATTTAAGTGCAAATGCGACCGTCTGCAGAAAAAACTTGACGCCCAAAGTTCGCTGCTAAGTGTGTGAACTGCTCTTCTTGCGTTGGGTAAACTAGCATTTAAGTGTCATATCATGCAGTTTATCCAACCAACAGCTGAGTTTGAAACAACATACACAGTTATCTTAAAGTTAGGACGGCACAATTAATCGAAAATAATATCGAAAATGTCCAAGTGCAAAATCCAAATCACAGACGCTGCTGAATTTTTTGATAAAGGTAAAAGTACTGTAGATGTTTCCCGACAAACAAATCAGGATTTGAATCATTTATTTCAGTGAAAATGATAATTTTTACTAATTACGAATCATATCTGTCAAAAATAATCACAATATGATTTTTTTACAATGTCGTGCAGCCCTAGTTTACGTAATGAGTGAGGGGCTAAAATATAATCAAAAAAAGGTAATTTCCAGGATATTAGGTCTTTTTTTATCAATTTGGAAAACTAGTGTCTAGATTTCCAGGTTTTCCAGGACACAGTGGGAACCCTGTCAAGACTAGCACCTCTTTTAACATACACAGGAAAGGTGAAAGGTCAGCATGTAACATGTGATGTGATTTTAGTTGAAGAATCACGTCAGGTCTATGAAAATAAAAAAATAACTGTGAAAACCACAGGGAGCCACTGGAGATGGCCCCTGATCTACGTCTGTGTCACTCACCCGTCCTGACGGCGTCCTCCGCGTCCTCCGCTGACGGCGTCCATCCGGTGGGACAGGCTTTACCAGAGCTGTACTCCCTCAGCATGTGATGAAGCTGAGCTGGATTCAGGGCGGCAAACTCTGTCCTGAGAGAAGCCCAGGACGCCTGGAGAGACATAAAACGACAAAGAAAACTTATTCTACAATCCTGAAGGATTATAAAAGAGACCCATTGGTTTGATCTTAAGAAGGAGCCACAAAAGCACTTTGTAGTCACTGTGAGAATGACAGGGTGGGAGAAACCAGCATTTTCCCATCATGCTTGTTTCCACATAAGGAAACAAAGTCAGTGCTACTCTCTCATTTGCATGCAAAGTATTTTAAAACCAATTATATGATCTAGTAAATAGTTTTTTGTGCAGGACCAGATGCTGGTGACAAAGCCTCTTGGGAAAATACTTCTGAGTGTGAATGTTTAGAGGCCCTCTCACATTTAAATGTTTATTTTACTCCACTAAAAGGTGAGCGTATCGCGGTGAACGCGGCGTGAGAAGTGCAAACATCATTATCTCAGCTCCTCGGCAGCTCATGAACACTTGAGAAAGATAATGTTTGATCTGTTGATGACCACGGACACGATAAGGAAACAGGTGAATCACCAGCAACATTCATGTGATTATTACAGGACGAACGTTACGTAGTTCGTTCGCTCTGTTTACAGATGAATTGGTGGAAGTCAGACTTTGCCCAGACATGCCGGGGCCACAATAGAAACCATAAGTTAAATGTTGTTTGTTGCCCTGCTCTTATAACACACACTGAGCTCAACACAAGGTGAACCTTAAATGCTGCGTATAAACATTTTAAATCCTCTCTGTTTGTTATGTCTGAGATTTAACGTTTTCGGCAGCTTTATTCTCCTAAAATAACTCCTCAGAAGTTGCTTTCTCCACAACAGCCGGCAAAACAAACGACGCCACATCCCTCGGGGTGTAATTTACAGCCGTGCCACTTCAGGTTTTTTAAAAGCCCAGAACTCCAGATGGAAAACTGAAAATCTGTCGAGGGTGTGTGCTGCTGTTTGCGGCAGCCACGACGTGACCTCATGCCAGGGCAGGGACACAGAAAACCACCAGCTTCCTAGCAACCGTCCCATCCATCGAACAGACATGTTTTTGGAAATAGTAATGCAAGTATTCTATGTTCTATAAGAACATGTGAGTGAGTAGTTGAGCTCAGAATATGAACATATTAAAATAAAGTCCCCTTCACAAACTTCGGTTAACATTGATCCCTTACAGACAAGCTTTGATCTGAAAGCCATATTTTATAATTATACTGTATATAAGACACATACGGGGTTTTATACAGTGTGTATAAGCAGTGTTTTCTATTTATAGCCTTTCTATTTATAGCACATGACTCAATGTCCTCATCTTTTCAGGTGCAACAAACCTGAGAATCATTAAAACGATTCTGACCTTTTGTTTAACCTTCGTTCCTGATCAGTCACACCTGGGTAACTGTCGGGTTATTTGACTCTGAATACCTCCGTGTGTTTCATAACCAGAGAGCTCAGCTTTTCCTCCTGTGGTACGAAGTGTAAACAAGATCTGAATGGGTAACTAAGAGAGCGGTGTGCTTAAGGAGGGATTAAATGTTAAGTTGGCGAGCTACCACTGCGCAGCAAAGTCTAAACAGAAGGTTAAAAGCAAACATAAAGGTGTTGTTCTGGTGTTGTACTGTATTGTTTGAGTGATACAGTCTATTATTCCTGAGCACACACTGAAACCGAGGCTTTAAAATGCATTTACTCTAATGTATTTCTGTGTTTAACTGCATGTTTCCACTCAGATTACATCAGAATAAACAGGATCTAAAGCTGATAATATAGTACAAACATACTGCAGCTAATAGGATATACTTCATATGATTGTAACTTAGATAAGCCATGGCCACGCCTCCACTGGCACCATGAGTCAATCATTACGGTGTATTTTCACTCACTCTGTTCCTGAAGGCCTCATATCTGATCAATGTGTTTCCAAAGCTTCTGTAACCATAAAATAACAGACTTTTATGGCACGATTAGTCATTTTAACCACAAAGTTTGGGAACAACAGGAGTTCGGTTGGCTGCAGTATGAGAGGCTGAGTGAGGTCCAGAAGATGTTTATATGTAATGACTAATGTTGTGTTGACACCTTTAAGACAATGAAAACATTGAGGCTGACGCAGGCGTGACTTTGTGCCCGTGGACAGACGAACAGGAAGGGAGACACAGACGGATGTCCTCTGACCTGCAGGAGGGTTTCTTTGGGTGTGGCCAGCAGATTGACGGCGGCGGAAAGCTTCTGGAAGAACTCAGTGGCCAGATCGCCGAGACCGATACTCTGGATCCAGTCCATCAGCAGGTCCATGTTGGCCCGGATCTGAACGCCTCTGGACCACTGGTAGAACCCAGCGACTGATCCTGAAGAACAAATACATCAAATTAGATTAGATTAGATGATATTGATGTGCAAACAACATAATTTACATGCATGTAATAAAAGAAGTAATAATATTGACGCTATTAGCCCGGTTAAATAAATGGCTGAAACAGGTTTATCTGACCTCTCTCCATGAGGGCGTTGAACAGCGATGCGTTGATGAAGAAGAACAGGTAGGCACAGAGCTGCAGTGAGATGTCTGGATGGACCTGGAAGGCTGTGAGAAGCTTCAGCGCCTCCTTCAGCACCTCCAGGATGCCGCCGAGTCCGTCGGGCACTCGCAGCTGGCCCCCCTCTGAGAACGGGTTTCCATCCAGCAGCCCGGGCAAGGCTGAATACATACTCTGTGGAAGGAGGATGGCGGACAGTTTACAACCTCGGCTGCAAAGACAAGCAGCTGGAAGTCGCACTGAATGAACATCTGATGCATCATGGGAAACAGGCAGTGATAAGGCTGATAATGAAGCATACAGACTTTCATTTGATTCCTGATTAAATCAAGTACAGTGCAAGAACGTTAACAGGAAATCATGTTCTTTTCTGTCTCGTTCAGCGCTGCTATGTATAGAATATATTGACATAATGGCTGAAATAGAGGAAGGTATTCACAGAGCGCTCAGGAAACTGTGAAGGAAAGCTTGTGCCGCACAGGATAAAGAGCGACGGTGGTGAAACTACAAATACTGTTCTACAGTTACACTGTAATTTGAGTCATTTTACAAGCTATTGTAGAAACTGCACGTAAATCCTACAACAGGGATTAAAACCAAACAACACACTGAGAGTTTAAATAAAACATCCTGCGGCCTAAAAAATTTAAATGTCCATTTTTTTATTGCCGAAACGTTTGGCCTCTTCTAGCAGGTGGTAAAAGAGACTTAAAAACAAAAGAAAACCTTTATCAAAAGTCTCATTTAGACATTAATAAAGACATTTTAGTATTAACATAAAACCTGTTGTGTAAGAAAGTTGCTTTTATTTGCGGTTCCAATAAAAATCTGCGGCTATCAGTTTTCAGCTGCTTTCAATCACTGTTTTGTTTCACTCGTTTTAAATCCCCAATAATTATCACTCCTTTATACAGAACTGTGGGCAGCGGCTCACCGCTCAGCACCACACGATAAAGAGTACACGAAGAAAATCGTACATCTGACAACAGCTGGTGAAGAAAACCAGCTTAAATTACAGCACATTGGACCTAAATCTGTCTCATGTCAGGATAAAGTGAAAGTTCAGCAAATATGACAACAAGTTATTTTTATAAAAATGACCTACTGCAGCTTTAAAATGAGACTTTCAGAGATGTAATAACAGATTCTTTGTCTTACAAATGAAAAGTAGAAGTGATGCCCAAAAAAAGCCCCATTGCTTCAGTTCAATTCAACCTTTCTTGGTCCGGTTTGACCACTAACCTTTGGTGGCTATTGTGAGCTAATCATAGCAAACTTTAGATGGATATTGATGTGCAGTTAATTAATGTGTTTACTGACTCGATGACTTTTCTCTTCTTGTGCTGCTGTTACACTGTTTAGCATTTAAAATCATCTTGTGGCCACTGACTACAAGAAGTTTGTGTAAAAAACAAGTGATTTAGATGAATTTTGAGCAGATTTTGTCCTGTTTAGGGAACTTTTTATATGTATAATGTACTTTTAAAATCATTTTTATCAATCATAAACACTTAATAGGCTTCTTTTTTTGTCAAATTCAATGTTTACCTGATGCTTGGTTATTGTTCTATTAATTTACATTTCATCACAGAAGTGAAACCAAATGCTGAGATATCAACCTACTGTATATTTTTTAAGTTTTCTAGCACGCCTTAAAATCAAAAAGGCCTCACGACCCCTTTCGCAGGTAATAAAACAGGATAAAGACTCTTCTGCAAACTCTTCACAATCATCTTACGAGCTCTTTTATTGAACCACCACCTCACTGTGAGCTCAGATCCGGCTCTTATCGTTGCTCCTTCATCTGACACAGTTCTGCCATTGTTTCATATGCATTACATCACCTGTTAGTTACACACACACACACAAACACACACTCTCGCTCTCACACCATGACTAAGATAATGACCTCAGACAAACTGAAAGGGGCCATAAAGAAGACAATAACCCTGCATGCCTGAAGCAACAGGTCAGCTGATAGTTTACAGTGCTGCTCAGCAAATTTAAAGGTGCTGATTGGTTATCATGAGGACAGGAGAGGATCTTTACAAACAGAAAGACTGAAAATAGTTTCTGTATATCTGTATAACCTTCTATGAACCCAGTAATGCAAAAAAACTCACATTTTTCCTTCTTTTTGGTCTCTGCTGTAAAGAAAAATGTTTTTTTATGGATAAAAACTGGCAGCTGTGGTTGCCAGAACTTTAAAAGGATATTAGTATTGTTGATTTTACAGTTAAAGTTGGAGTTTTATTCCATATTTTAAGTTTTTACCATCAAAAGAAACACATAAAAATACCATATGAATGCTTTATAAAGAAAACTTTTTGCCATGAGATATGAGTATGGTTTTCTGTGCTATTTACAGTCTGTCATATAAAAAAGACTTTATTCCATATAAATTCTTTTATAAATAAATGCTTTTGCCATAAGATATGGCTGTGTTTTACTACAGAAATTTGACTTTTTTAGCTAATTTTTTTTACTCTCTTGTGTCTTAATTGGCGGCTGTGATGATGCCATTTTTACTTTTTAAGCTTTAGTCATATTATATTTTTAAACAAGCTTAAGAAAAGACTTTAACAAAAAAGAAGAAGTGAAGAAATGATTCGACATTCAGTCATATTTCACAGGAAATGAACAGAGCTTTTTTTCCCCCCTCTTGACTTCCTTTCCAGTGTTGGGTGTTTCTCTGATGACAGTTTGTCTTCCTCTGCAGGAGACTGCTGCCCATAGCTGTTAATCCTCCCTCTCCTCCCACAGAACAACAGTAACCAGCAAACACATACTGAAATAAACAACACATTGCTTAATAAAAAGAGAAACTGCAATGTATGTGTTACTTCTGTAGTCAAAACTTGTGTAAAATGTCTCTTTTTAAGTTTCAGCTGCGGCACAAGCAATAGAAAAAATGTCTCTGAGTATTCAAAACAAGAGCACAGGCTGTTCCTGCTTCCTTCCCTCCCTTCCTGAAACAGTTACTGTGCAGGATGGTGGTGTTTCTTCAGCCTCTGCTATTAACTGTCTGTGCTGTGATGTCGACGGGATTCTTCATAAACCAGACAGTCTTTAATAAGCAACTTTAACATGGGAAAGTCACGTAAATCTAGCCTCTCTGGGAGTGTCCTGTTGGGCTGTAAAACAGGAAGGTTCACTGTTTTGTCCCAAAGCAAATCCAGACTCACACCAAGATGTATTTTCAGACTCTGAGAAGAAAGTGTGTGTCCAGATTTTAGAGTTTTAAAGGCCTTGGAGTGGTAGAACTTGTATCTGCCTTTGTATCTTTTTCCGGTGGTGTACCCCAGGGGTCCGTCTTTGTCCCCGTTCTGATGTCCTTATACATGCTTCCACAGGGGTTTTTAGAAAATGAAACATACCTTATCATTGCTAAGTTGATGACACAAAGCTGTACAACAGTTAGCCTCAGATAAATGGTAGTAAGACAAAGATCCTTATTCTCAATCATGAATCAATTTTCTCTGGAAGTATAGTATAGTTGACTCTGTCTTCAAATGCCAGAAATCTGGGCATCATTTTTGTTTAAATTTCACTGATAAATAATTACTATTGCAACTCTCTTTATTTGAGCTAACCTGCAGCTACTACTACAATCACTGGTCCCAAGAAGATATCTCCCCAGCATTGGCCTCTCTTACTGAAATAGTGATGTTAAGGTTCTTTAATTAGTTTTTACTGTAAAGCTCTGCATGGTTTGACACCAGTCTACATCTCCGATCTCTTTGGTCCATATTCTAAATCCAGACCCCTTAGATCCTCTGATCAGTTACCCCTACTATTACTGAAATATCTCTGTAAAGCACTCTGACTTGACATAACTCTCAAAAATTCATTAATGCAACTGTGAGACTAACAAAAGCCTTCAGTGGTTCACATAGTGGTTCTCACCAAGTCAGGAGTTCTGGTTTTGTTATTCAAGAAACCGGTTAAACCTCGGAGAGACAAGATTGTCTTTTTGTTTATATTGCAGACAGTGGAAAAGTCTCCCCGCTCACTATCTCACAGGCCTTTCCTGACTGTGAGTCTGTGTTTCCATTCAGTTATTGTGTTTTCTTTCTGGAATACGTTCAATAAAAACAGAATAAGGTGTTTACACGGTCCAATTTCCTGCTTCACATGTGACCGACGCTCAGGTTTTACAGGTCAAAAAGGATGTGAAACATGTCACTTTATGAATGTGCTGTGTGTTAAAGAACACAGTATTTTAATGTGTGTCAGCCAACCTTTGTTAGATAGTAGACGGACTGCTGGAAGGTGAACATGATGACTTCCTCCAGGACCGTCATGGCTTCCTCACAGGCTATCCGAGTGGAGGACATCTCAGAGTCCAACAGACCTGACAACACAAACATAATTTAAAAACAGACACACAACAGCTGTGAGACTCCTGTAATAAAGGCCACACTGTGTTTTAATCCACCTTCGTCCTCCTGGTCCTGCCTCCAGGGCAGCAGCTGAGGGACTTCATGTTGGATGAAGTGCAGCAGTTCGATGGAGTTGGCCATCCACAGCACCAGAGGCTGCAGACCCGGGATCAGCTCCTGCATGCTGAGCAGCTGAAGATGCTCAGGCTGCCCTTCACCGGTGCTCCTGATGTAAAAACACAGAGAGAGACATTTAGCCGATTAAAAAAACTTTAACTAATTATAATAATATTCATTAATAAAATATACTAGTTGTTGTGTCCTGGGATGATAGTTAGTTGCTTGAATCTCATCAAATAATCAAAATATTTTTGTGCACTCTATTTCAAACAAAGTAAAACCATCCAAATGTTTTACTGTGATTAAACTTCCTCTAAAATTTCTGCAAATCAGCAAAATCTTACATGCAAAGTTGAGGAACTTCCCACTTCTGCTCACAAAGCCACTGTTAATTTTAATGGTAATGCTTGTTCAACCAAAACAAGTCAAAAGGTCTGCCATCATAAAGGATGACTCTCCTGTTAGTGCTGAGGTGCTCATAGTTTCCGTATAATGAACCAAACGACCGAACTGTGGAGAATCTAACTGATCTAACAATGTCCAGCACGTCCATATTGACCAAAGTTTAAACATTTATATTTGTGTAGGCGATCAAAGCAGCTTAAAACCTGGTTTTACACATCCAGATCATTTCTATAAATCCAGACCACACTAGTAAAGGAGACCTGTGTCTATGTGCTTTTATTAGAAGCTCATGGTATTAGTAGCAGCACTTGTATCCTCCTGAAGGTACAGTCACATTACACTACTGTCCTTTAAATGTTCACTCCCATACTAAAGCCAACAGAATAAACTTTGATTTAGAGTTTGTTAAATAACTTGGTCACATCCTGAGAGAACAGCTGACACGAGATGATAAAGTAGACACAAAACTCTCAGCTGCCTCTACTTTCTCAGAGACTGTGGGAAGTGTTCTCTTTGCACAACCTGCATTTAAAAAAAACTCTTTGTTTTCTGAAGCACACGGTTGTAAAATCGGACTTTAACTCCTCTTTTATTCAGACTGTAAAACTTGAGGTGTTGTATGTCATAATCTCAGGCAGCAGCTGCTGCTCTTCTCTCTGCAACAGGTCATTGTCGTGTATTTCTGGGACATTCTTGTGGTTTGTCTACTCACGTTTCTGGCTGGATTGCTGCAAGTTCCTTTGTCTTCTCCTGAGAGGATAAACACATAAAGAAAAGTTGTAACTTGACTGTAAACTGCAAAAAATATGAAAAATCATTGTCATGAAAGACATGACTCATTCCTCATTCTCTGAGGAACGCTACAACCGTTACAGTTGTAGTAACACACTTTGTTATTCTCAAGAGTTTTTTTCCTAAATGTTTTCTTTCCTAAAAGTTCTTATTATTGCAATTTTACTATTTTTATTTAATCATTTTTGTATGATTTTATCTTAATTTGATCTCTCTTTCGTTTGTGGCTGGTTCCTTTATCTTACACATAAAGAAAATCTCCATTTCATTCATGCTTTACATCAACCACTATCTATTGATGTCTATTCTCATCCCTACATTTGATTACATTCCTCCCTCACATTTGGGGGAATATAGTACAAAATACACACATTTATTAACAGTTTATTCAGTTGGTCAATTACCTGATGCCAGAAAGAAGGAGCAGAGGTTCATCCTTACCCACATAACGAGTTGGATCTGGCTGGCTATCCGGAGCAGCAGCTGTCTGAAGTGTGTCAGCTGGAACGAGGACGCTGAGTGCTGGATGCACAGGCTCAGCAGGAAAGCAGGCGTCAGCTTTGGTTCATTTCCACTTGCGTCCAACATATCCAAAATCTCCTGAAGGACCCTCTCCTCCTGCTCCAGCTCATAGCTCACCAAAGCCTCTGTGCCTTCCAGGTCCCTCCAGTGAGGCGGTAATGGCTTCCTCTGGAGCCTTTTGACGTTGAGAGCGGAGCCGCACGATAAACACGAGGACGACGTCTTTGCGTCAGAGTTCGGGCAGAGTCTGGTCATCCAAGGTGGAGTCTGGAGGGATCCTGATGTGCAGGTAGGATCCTTAAACATGAACAGGTAGTGTTTCCCCAAGCCAACCAAGTCCCCTGGGTTCAGTTCCACCTCTTCTTTAAGTAGGAAACCATTTCTGGTCACAGGAGCACCGTGGAGGGGCTTCAGCATCGTCAGTGTCTTTCTGTGCTCCCCTGTGGAGGTTGGGTTGTTGGAGTCCAGGCGTCTGACGCAGCAGTGCTGGGGCAACACATCGGGGGCGAAGAGAAGGATGTCGACCTTTAATCTCTCCTCATCCTCTCCGTTACAGTGCTCCCTACAACAGCCGAAGATGGTGGTGGTCCCACTCATCAGGTAGATGACGAAATCCTGCAATAGAGTTTAATTAGTTTAATTTAGGGCTGCAACTTACTAGTTTTTAGGTTAATTAGTTTTCAAGATCCAAAGATTTTCGGTTTACATAAGAAAAAGGAACACAGCAAATCCTCACTGAGAAGCTGTAACTACTGGATGTTTGGCACTTGTGCTTAAAAAAATTACTTAAATATTTAATCATTTGGTCTATAAAATGTTAGAAAATACTCAAGCAACATCTTCAAAAGTCTTGTTTTGTCCAACCAACACTCGTAAATCCAGAGTTATACATTTTCCTATAATATAAGACAAAAAACCCTCAATTCTCACGTTGGAGAAGACTTAAACGATTAATCGATCACCAAAATAGCAGCTGATTGATTTTCTGTCAATCCTCTGGTCAAGGTGAAGGATGGAGGATTGCTTCTCTTGTGTAACATTTTGGAAACAAACCAGCAGTGTGCGTGTGAACAGCAGCGGGGAACGAAATGCGTTGGCAGCGAGAAGCGAGACAGGAATGGAAAGAGCTTACGAGGTGAGACAGTGGTGATGTCCGTGACCTCCGGGACACCACAGTAAGACAATTAGTCATCAATGATACCGTATTCGTCTGTAGCTGTACATCCCTCCTTTGGCTTTGCGCTGACTGACTGTTGCAGAGTAAGATCCGGCCTGCAGCAGCTCTCAGCCTGCACAGTATCCTGCACAGTCAGCAGCCTCCACCAGCGGGGACAAACAACAAGAAAGAGCTTCCTGTTCCTGGGAATGGGCCGGGCTAAAAGCCACAGCCTGGCTCTCTAGTTTACTGTTAAAAATGTAAACTAGTGATTCAAACGGCATCAGGGATATTTCTTTAAATGTGTTCACATGAGGCATACTTTACTCAGAACCCTGATCTACTGGTAAGTGCCGACCTCCCACTGAGTGTGTTTATACACTCTAAGAATAGCTTCTGTGTAGTTTATCCTCCTCTACAGTGTGTCTTCAATCAGGGTTATCTCCTTGTTTAAAACATCCTGAGCAGGTTTACTTCTGACTGCTAGTGAACACTCTGTTCCTTGTCGTTTCATTGGAACACGATGACAGACAGCTCGTCCTGTGTGAGAGTCAACTTTTCTGTTTCCCTCTGAGCCCGCGAAACTGCAGCGGTTCCCAACACTGACGTTGCCAAAGCCTCGTAGAAAAGTAAATGTAGAGTAAAATGTCCAAGCGTCAGGGACAAGAAAACACTAGATTTGTCATAATTGACTTCACTGTTTGGGTTCATTGTACAGTTTTTAATATAACATGAAATATATATAAAATATGTCACTTTAATAAATAATAGAAAAGGGGTTGGGAATCAGTGGTCTAATACAGTGGTTCCCAACCTGGGTGTCTGGACCCCCACTATGGGTCGCCAAAGCCTCATGGGGTGTCGCAAGGCCTTTTTGATTTTAAGGCCTGCTAGAAAACTTAGATAATACACACAATAGGTCAATGTCTCAGCACTTTGTTCACTTCTGTGGATAAAAGTAAATGTCAGAGACAAGAAAACAATGAATTTATCAAAAGAGAAGCCAATTAATTATAACAAATACATAATACAGACAGAGAATTGTATAAAAAGTTCCCTGAACAGGAAATAATATGCTCAAAATTCATCCAAATCTCTTGATTGATGAGTTCCTGCAGTTACTTAGTTCACTGTTTGAGTTCATTGTACAGTTTTAATATAATATTAAACATCTATAAAATATGTCACTGAGTCAGTTTATTAAATGATAAAACCACAGATATACAGGACATCACTTCCTGAGCCTGAATCCATTCTGAGAAATGCACGGTGGAGCTTTGAGTATTTCCTTCCTCTCCACCTGTGTGAACCGAGAACTCATTCTCTGACTCCGGGATTTTCTCCTTGAGGTTCGTAACATAAGACGGTCAATCCGACACTCTCCCGTACTTATTTCCACCAAGTTGTCTCCTGTAAGCTTGTGTTTGCCTTCGCTGGCGCACACGCTGCCAGAAGACTCTGAAGGATAACACTAACTAACAGTTTAATCCAGAGGTTCTCAACCTTTTACCTTTAGGGACACCTTTTCTATCATTGACACATATTTTATTGAATGAACATAGTAACTGCAGGAAGTTTGTGTAAAACGAGTGATTTGGATGAATTTTAAGCAGATTTGTTCTTCTTTCGGGTGAATATTAAATCACAGATGAGTTGTCCTGACATCTTTAGTAACTTTTTAAACAATTATCAGTCTGTATAATATAATGGGGACAGTGGTTAGCACTGTCACCTCACAACAAGAAGGTTGGTGGGTCGTTTTCAGAGAACCGGGGTTACTCTGGTAACCAAAGGTTTTCTTGGTCTTCTATGAAAGTAAATTGAATATTTTTGAGTTTTGGATTGTTGGTCAGACAAAACGAGACATTTGAAGACGTCACCAAGGGCCTGGTTCAATTATAACATCCATGTTTTTACTATTTTAATCAGCCAAGACAATAATAATCATTAGCTGCATCTTTACTTATCTGTTATAAACTATATTATCCACTTTAAACAGCACTTCCTCTGCCCCTCACCTGTCTGTGGCTGTAGCCCTGCAGCAGGAGGAAGTAGGGGAAGTCAAATGGCGGGTGAATTGAGTACTGGGTGGTGTTGTCGTCGCTGCTCTCCGTCTCCTCCTTCTCCATACCGAGCCGCAGGACGTCCTTGTCGGCCTCGGCCTCGGGATCCTCTCTGAGTGCACTCTGCCGGGCCCGGTTGGCCTCCTTCCCCATCGCAGACAGATCCATCTCGCTCAGACTTCTCCAGATCCCGAGTCCGTCCACGTCCTCACCGCTGCCATCCACAAACAGCGAGGTCACTCTGGAGCGGCTCTTCTGCAGCTTCCGAGCCTGAGCGTTGATCCCTGAGAGGAAGAGGAAGTGTGTTAAGAAACTGAGGTTACAAATATTAATATGTTTACAGTATGAAGAACAAACTGTTGCTTCATGTTCATGATAAGACAGTGATGTCTTAGAGCAAAAAAACACTCAGGAAACACCACTTAGAGTCAAAGATGTCGACAAAATATACAAGAAAAACAGATTTCTGTGTTTTGTCAGGAGGTCACAGCTCATCGTTCACATGTCAAGAGACACAAAATCAAAGAAAAGACAACAAATATGAAAGAAAACGGGCCTGAAATGAACCCATAAAGAATTAATCTCTAGAAATTGAGATAAATGATCGAGGAATAACTTAAATGTTGGAGTAGAGCTGCAAGGATCATTCACCAACTATTTTGACGATCAGTTAACTGTTTTGAGTCATATTTTAAGAAGAAATTCTCTGTTTTCAGCTTATGAAATGTAAATATTTTCTGCTTTCTTTAGTCCTCTGTGACAGTAAACTGAATATCTTGGCACGTTGGCGTCTGATCAACATTGTCTGACATTTCATGGACCAAACAACTAATCAATGAATCAAGAAAATGATCGACAGATTAACCAATAATGAAAATAATCAGAGCATTTTCTTTCCAAGATTACACAACTAATTTCTTTGCTAATTCATTATAATTAGTATCTTGTAATTTCTTTTATATAGAAAATGATGAATAGCATGAATAGCTTTTTCCAAAAATGACAAAATAGATGCACAAATATTCCTTCTTACATAAATACATTTAAAATTAGCTCCTTTTATTTTGTTACTAGTAAATAAATTATGTATTTTGGTGCATTTAGAGTTAATAACTGATTTAATTATTTCAGTCTGCACTGTATTAACAGTGTGAAACCTCTGAACAGAAGAATTATTCTCACACATTCTCTCATTAGGCAAACTTTTGGCCAATTAAATAGCCATAAAATCTAAATATTCCCCATCCCTCAGTCATTACCCTCTGACTTTTTTTTAGTATAGCAAAGTAAAACAATTAAAATAAAACCCGTTTAACATTCAACAACCAGTAAATAACTACCAAAACTCCCCCTGAAATCACTCGGCTCAATCAAACACAACCCTTCCCTGGCACCAGTTCAAATGAAAACACAACCAGAGGAAAGGGAGGAAATGTGCGGTGGAAAGCGAGATGTGACCACCTCGTTCTGATACCGAAGGCCGCTCTGTCGACCTGACGTAACACAAACACTATTCAGCTCGTTTGGAGCCATTAAGCACCGTGGAATGTCACCAGAGCCAGCTTCACACCCGCAGCTCCGACCCTCTTATCAGCTGTGGAAATGGGTGTTCTCCACATTGTTCAGCACCAGTGTGACAGACTGGGCTCGGTGCCCGAATTAAACTAAAAAAGTTACACTGAAGAGGCGAAGGACAGTTTGCTCGGGCTGCGAGAGGAGAGGAGGGCGGACCACGAACTGCAGAGGAGGAATCTCAAGAAAGGAAAGTTTGTTTCTGGTGAATGAGTCTAAAACAAAGAATAATCTTTGTCTAACTTTGTCTTAATAAGATATTACACATAATATTGAGCTCAATTATACCAGTAACAACAATGGTTGCATAATATCCCAGCAGAGGAACTAGATTATTTCATTAATTTAAGAGTAAAACCACCACACCTAAATCAGTTTAAGAGAAAGTCGTCTGGTCCCAGTGTTGGAAATGAAGCAGCTGTTTAGTTTTTCATTGTTTTAATAAAAAATGTTAAAAAAGAGAAAGTTTCTGGTTCCTTCATTTAAGATAAAGTCACTGATTTGTATTATGTTTGAAGAAATTGTGTCTTATTGTAAGATTTCTTTGCTAATTATTAATCTAATCTTGAGGTATTGCTTGTCATTGCTTGAAATTAACACAACCTGCTTAAATGTTTGGTATTTTTTCTCTGTTAAAGTCCCAATAAAGTCTTTCAGTAACTAGATTTTTATGCTAGTTTTAAGACTTCTCTTGTTTTACCCCCATTGGAAGATCTGATTATATTTAAGAATACTTGATATGATAGATGGATCTCATGTCTGTACAGTAATTTAGCTTAGCATTAAGACTGGAAACTGAGGGAGGAAACGGCTTTGTTGGCTGAGTGTAAACAACCTTTAAAACTCACTAATTAACACATTGTATCTTGTTTGTTTAATCTGTACAAAAACAAAAGAGTTAATGCGTCATTTTATTGAGGCTGGTTGATGGCAGCGAAGATCTTAAAGCCAAGAAAAAGTCTGACACACGAAACTCGCCCGTAAAAAACAGCAAAATGTTGTTTTTGTACTTCTGTTTTTGAACAAATTAAACAAACATGTTAATTAGAGAGCTTTAAAAGTGCTGGTATGTGGATTTTGTTACCATTAGACAGAACCTACAGCGGCTTCCTCCTCGTTTCCAGGCCTTAAGCTAAGCTAACTATTCTGATGATAAATTAATAATTTTGAGTGAGAACCCAGATGTTTTATCTTGTTTTGTACGAAGCAGCGATCAGCAGGAATCTCACACACACACACACACACACACACACACACACAATAATTAAAAAGCCGGTATCGGTGCAGCAGCATATTGGTCGAACGCTGAGAGAACCACAACAAACTTGCGCCAAAGTCAACTGTCCCCGGTGGGCAGGAAGCTCGCTCTGACAGAAAGAATAACACCGCAGTGGGTCGGCCCAGCGGGGAGAGCTGTTCGGTGCCTGGATGTTTCACGGGGCCCTAATGGGCCCTTGCAATAAAACAAAGATAAGAGAGAGGGGCCGCACTGACCTCCTCTATCCCTCACTGCAGCTTTTGTTTCCTCCTGACCTCTCTTACATGCCTGCCATCTCCCCTGTTCTAGCCGGTGATAAGTGGAACAATGAAGGCTGTTAGGCTGCAATAAGAGCCGAGGATAAAGGCCCCCCATCCCGCCACGACACCGGCCGAGTGATTGATTACCCAGACGTAAGGATGTGAGGGTCGCTGAAGAAGACAAGGTGTTGTATACCTGCTGTTACTGTGTCCCTGTCCTTCAAACTTTGCTCCTCAACGCTCGCTCGCAGCTGGATTTCGAAGCGTCTGGAGAAGCCCTCCTTTGGTTTCCACAGCGACTGCAGCATGAGGGGCTTCTCGTGGTCTCCCACCACCCGGAAACACTCCCTCTTCCACTGGTTGTCTGCGCCCGTCTGGCCGATCACGTCACAGAGCACGTAGTCGTTGGCGTCTTCTTTTTCCAGACAGTACCTGAAGAACAAAAAGTGTAAGTTCAGACGAAGAGGTCGATATAACAACCTGGAGGTACAGGTGGGGTTCACTTTAACACATTGCCCAAAAGATGGTTAACATCAGCATAAAGTGGGCATGTTTGTAAAAGGGGAGACTAGAACCCATTTTCATTCAGATATCTTGAGGTCAGAGGTCAGAGGGATCCCTCAGGTTCAATGGATCCTCAGTTCTTCCAGACTTAAATCTTCTTGCTGTAACTCTGTCAGACGTAATCTGGCTCTACACCAGCTAAATGCGACCCCCTCTCCTCACCTCTCCAAGGCCTCCTTCACCAGCTCCTTTGCACTGGACTGCGTGGTGGCCAGCACGCTCTTATAGTTGGTCCCCTGACAGATGTCGCTGCCGAAGACCTTCAGGATGCCGGGGACAGACATTTGACTGGACAGCTCAGCCGGGTCGTCCGCAGCCTGCAGGTCGCCGGGGAGGCTCCCTCCGCCCGGTGCCTGGCCGCGGCGTGCAGCGTCACGCAGGTTGGGGCTGTGGTTGAAAACAGTTGAAAGCCTGTTATTGTGGCGGCGGATTTTGCTCTTGGCTGGCTGCCGGACGCCCACGCTCTCCGTGGAGCGGACGGTGCTGTCCGAGTTGTTGGACCTGAGAGGGAACAGAGGAGACGGTGAGATAACGAACACAATATCTTTAATTTAATTATAATGATAGAATATATATGGGAGCTGGTCTGACTGTACACAGTGATTTATGGGTAAATAAAAGGCTAGAACTGTGACCTCCAATCTGAACTAGTTTTTTTTCATTTATATCTAATAATATCTCACATTATATTACTATAAATATTACTTTTGGCACTAAATATTTATGTCCAGTGTGTAAAAACTTTATCTCCATTAAATGTGTCCCACATAAAGCAAAGAGGAAGTGGTTAATGAACTTTATAGAAGGTGTCAGTACTCTAATTACAGGAAATAAAGACACAACAGAACTAAAATACACCTGTAACACCTTTTTATTTGCCTTTATTCTGCATTTCATGACTAAAGGTGGTTAAAAAAATGAAAAATTATGTTTTTGGAGGAAACAACAACAAGGCAGTTCTGTAATGAAACAGTTAGAGACATAAAACCAGGAAATAAAGACGCTTAAATACTAAAATAAACATGTGTAACACCTTTTAAAGTCTTTTCTTAAAGCCTCTTTGTAATAACTTTTATATTAAATACATTATTTTGGATTATTTTTAACTTTCTCTTATTTAGCATTTAATTATTATGATTATTAATGTATTTATCAACTCCTCCAGTAAGTGTAGGGAAGTGTTTGAACTCTGATTCATCCTTTTTCTGTTTTTTACAGAACTTATAGGAAACTTACAGAAGGAGTGGCACAGTTTTAATAATATAATAAATGTATAATATATCTTTATAGGAGAAGTTATATAGTTGACAAACAAACAACATTACAGTGTTATAACCATTATTATAAACACCATTATAACCATCATTATAACCATTATACAGTGTTATAACTTATTATTATAACCATTATAACATTA